TCATTTCACATGTGACGTCACCTCACATGTGACGCCATTATTGTTTTGAATAAACAGAAGTTGTCCGAGATCTAATTCTTCTTTTTGAATTCTTTCAGGTAATAAATACCTATCGAAAGTTACACCGTCCGGGGGCTGTAACATAACAAATGAATTGTACATGCCAAGCTAGATGTGTATATATAATAAATCTATTTGCAGTTTATATTAAACAATTCATTTAACTGAAAATCTGCCAGTGTTTAATATAAAGTTTGGAATTGAATCAAATATTAAGATTTGCTCTTGCATAGCACAGTTTGTAAATTATAACCATGTTGGTAAAAATACATTTCATTTTGAAGAACATAGTAATTTGTACACACAAATGAGAAGTGTAGAGCAACTTCGGTATGATATCCACAGGAACAAGTTTTTGTATCAAAGATATATCTATTATACTGATCTGCATTAAGATCGCTGCAGCCAAGCCTGAGGCAACTGAATGATTTGGCATAATCTGCTTCCATAATTTAAATCCCAGTGTATACCACTATCTCCCTTTATGTGAAGCAGATACTGGTACTTTAATTGTGTAATGGTCTCTGCCCCTGTTAGGTTTTCTGGTAACATATTCCAAAGTTGTGTTGTAGCTGGTATAAATGAATCTGCATAAGCTTTTGTTTTACACTTCACTGTTTAAAGATTAGTTTTAACCCTTAAGTCATTATTTTTGTTTTCTGAAGCTGTGTCAGGAATAAGCCTACAAAGATATTCCGGGGATAAATGGTTATTCATATTGTAAAACATTACCAGTCTTAAATTGTATCTTCTGTCTTTTAATGACCTACAATTTGTTTCATTGTAAATCTTCTGATGACTCCTACCCCGGACAGCGCCACATATGGTTCTCAAAGCACCTAAGTGTAATTTTTCCAATAAGTTAGCTTGTTCATTAGTACAGTTGTCCCAAATATGACAACGATAATCAAAAATTGGTAAAATAAATGATTTGTACATAGTTTCTAAGGTAGTTCGGGAGTGACGATATTTATAACTTCTTAAACAATTAACCAGAGGACAACATTCCTTACAATATCCTCAATGTGCATTTTCCATTTACAATTACTTTGTAACTTTGTAAAGTAATACCTAGGTGGTTATGACTTTGTACATCTTTGCTTTCTGTACCATTCATATATAAGTTAGGTTTGGGACTAGGGTTTACTTTACGGGTAAATTGAATAGATTCAGTTTTTTCGGGACTAAATTTAACTTACCATCTTGTAGCCAATTCTGAAATTCTGTCCAAGTCATTATTGTGATCACGAGCAGCTATATCAGGATCTTCTATGATCACATACAAAGATGTGTCATCAGCAAAAATTCTTATATTACTATATATTCCTTCAACAATGTCATTGATATAGATAATAAACAATAATAGTCCCAGGACCGAGCCCTGTGGCACACCTGCCAAGACAGCTTTTGGATCTGAGCTATAGCCATTTATAACTACCTTTTGATATCGATTTTCTAAGTAACTATCAAACCATCTCAATAAATTTCCACAAATACCATAATGGTGTAGCTTATAAATTATTCCTTTGTGCCAAACTTTATCAAAAGCTTTACTTGCGTCACAAAATACAGCTCTAACTTCCTTACCTTCATCTAAAGCCTTTGCAATAAAGTTATATAAATATGTCAACTGATTTGAGGTGGAGTCTCCCTGCATGAATCCAGATTGTAGGTAAGTGAGCACATTATTATTCCTTAAATAGTCATACACATGTTTAAATATACATTTTACAAATATCTTTGCTAAACAACTTGTGAGTGCAACCGGTCTGTAATTTGTACATTCATTCACGCTATTCTTCTTATGAATAGGAATGATAAGAGCTTATTTCCATAGTGATGGCAATATTGCTTGTTTAAGAGAGAAATTGAATAGTTTAGTGAGGATTGGGGCTAAACTGTAAGCTGTATTTTTAAGTACTTAATTTCCAATACCATCAGGGCCAGTTGCCTTTGTGGTGTACACGGACAGTAGTATATCCCTAACTTCATCTTCCATCAAAATTATATTTACTAATAGACTTTCAACTTTATCTAATTCTACTGGTGGAAGGTGCATATCAGGATTACATATGCGAGATTGGTCCACAAAGAGGTTATTGAGAATATTAGCAATATCCATGGAATTATCATACAACCTATCCCCAAATATAATTGGGGGAAAGTTGTGTTTTGCAGTTTTAAGTTCAAGACACTCCTTTACTAAACGCCACCAAGTCTTTGTACCATGAGAACAATATATACAGTATCAATTTTAGATGCATATGCCTTCTTTGCCTTACGGACATAGTCGATTACTTTATTTCTTAACAGCCTAAAATTTGCCTAATCAGAAGGAGTATTACGTCTTTTAGTTTTCTTATGTTGGCGATTTCGTTTTCTTATTAAGGAACGCATTCCATTATTGATCCACTGTGGATCCTTTGATTGTATGATAAAAAAAATTATTAGGAATATGTTTATCACAAACCTTTATAATTTGAGATGTAAGTTCGTCAGGAATTGTGAGTTCACATCCCCCCATGAGAATAATAAATCACTATCAATATTCAGCATGTCAGTATTTAAGCCATCTAGGTTTGAATGAATGGCATTTAGGGATTATTTCTTTTATGGTTACGAATATTGGACAGTGTTTTAATGTAATGAGATGTTTGTTGTGGAGTCTGGAGCATGATGACTTAATCTTATTGTGTTTCTCAGGTGTAAGTAACACTAGCATCCTGACCAAGTAAGGTAATAAAACCTAAGAACACAAGTTCTAGTGTCGGCCTCACAACTGATTTAATTGGATGAATGATAAATCTGAGGTAAGTGAATAGTTCCATATTCTCCTGCATGAAAATGCTACATTCAGTCTTGTCAATATTTCAGACATTTATGTGACCTTTGGATCTGATATTTGAGTAAGGGACCAGTTTGGAATAGACTGGAGCACAACTGAGCCCATTCGGGAGTGCAGTTAACTGATAAAGTACTCCTTGGCACAAGAATTTAACATACTTTTCATGATCTTGCTGTATGATCAATGAGTATCAAGTCTATTGAAGCTGTGTAGCAGTTTTTCCTGACAAGAGAGATAGCCGTGGACAGACTTTCCATTTTAAGGCATACATATTCAATGTTTTAATTCAAGGGCTTCAAGGTCAAAATAAGACTTAGCTTCAAGAGGAACTCCAACTTGAGTGTCAGCAGAGAACTTTAGCTACTCTAGCAGAGGTCCCTTCAACCCGACAAGTCACATTCAACCTGGTTGCCATGGGTTGACGTTCTTGAATCTACTGTCTAAGAAGCAGATTCTGTGTTGTCAATTTGCTTGTTGATATCCCCATCATAGTCTGATTAACCAATTTCTTCTCCCTTTTCATCATTTGACCTGAGGGATGTTTTTTCACTTAGATAAATCTATCACATCCGAGCTGCCACATTTCTGTCCAGCATGATTCTGCATCATGGTGATCCTAATTTCACAAGTTATGAAGACATGTTAGTGAACAAACGTTGATTTTGCTGACATAAGTTAACGTTTCACCAACACGTCGAGAGACTGGCATTTATTGCTCATCCCGCATACTCTTGTGATGGTTTAGGCTTAGTGAGGATTTATTAACTCCGTTGTATTCATTTTTTAACTTAAATTTTTCATCTGAGGACTTCAGGATCTCAAGCACGCTCCCTCATTTGGAGACTAGTCGACAGTGTAGTGGGGAAAATCCAAAGCCCTCAACTGTGTGATATCTCCTGCTGTAATTGTACCACTTGGAGCAATTTAGGAAGACTAGTCAGGTCTAACTCAATGGTATACGTCTGTCTTCTGGAAACCTGTTAATTGCATCTCGCTTTCGCTCTCACATTCGTGACTTTCGTGATCACATTTTATGACATGATTGGATGAAATATAATCTCAATCCAACTTCAACTTACGGGTAAGTCTCATTTAATTGTATGAAATGGTCATGATAAGACCAAATCAAATGATTCCCTCACTTCTTGAAATGATTTCTATATCTTCCAATGATGTCAATGAGTAATGGTACTTATCAATAGGTAGAACTCTTCATTTGACAACAATGTTGCATATAATATTTTCAAACATCTAAATAATACTTCCATAACAAAATTGCAACAATTCCTGAATTGATGTATGATTCTTTGTTTGCTTGTTTGCTAACATATGCTGCATTGTAAGAAACCGCCCACACTGACAGGGTACAATGTCACCCAATAAACCAAGTCATCAATCCTGACCACCCAATTCATTTAGTCGCCTCTCACAAAACACCCCAAGGATGTTGGGGACCTTAGCACTATGACTCTCATAAGTGTATGTTAAGGTATGGGAGTTATGATCACCTTAGCACTAAGATTGCTTTGTGCAACGGCACCCTGTTTATTAATTCTGCTCCGGAAAAGAGCCCTACGGTCCGTTGAACCAAATCCCCACATGTGCCTTTGATCACAAACTAGTATCCATGGACTAAAACATTTGGAAACCATAATAACAAAAGGCACAACTAGAGTGGTGAATTTGTATGCAGTGTTTCATAAATGTAGCCCTAATATTTCTGACCACCCAACTCTGAAACTATGAGATATATTGCTACGGTCAACTGTTTCAAATGTCAACAAAGGCAATCAATTAATAACACATTGAGAATGTGCAGGCCAATTTCAGCTTTTTTTTGGAGAAGATGTTGGGATGGATTACATATTAACTCACATTAGCTCACTAGAATTTCAGTCATGAGCGCTAACAGGACACAAAGGTGGTGTTTTTATAATTGTTTGATATCAGTCATATCTTAATTAACTGATAAGTAATTAGGAAAGCAAATATACTCTTGGAGCAGAATAGGACAATTGACAAAAGTGATATTATGCATCCCAAAATAAATGCAAACACATTTCTATTAGTCTTAGTAAAATCACATATCACTCACCATTCAATAGCTGACTTAGTGTCCAAAGACCGATGTGAAGAAAGTTTTGGTCCTTTGACTTGAGAAACTTGTCAATATACAATACAATACCAAGTTTATTAGTTTCCCTCAGGTCATCTGGTATACCTGATACAAACAATGTATACTGTCATAAATGTCATAAATGATAAAGCAACAATGCCATATGAAAAAACAAGTAACAAGTGAGTTACAAGATACAACAAAACAGTATGACTGTATCGCAACAACATTTTTTCTGAAGAAATATCCAACATACAGTTGAAATTGAAATTTTAGTATATATTGTATATTTACAGTAAACTATGGTTATAACGAACTCAGAGGGACCACTAATTTTAGTTTATTATATCCGTTGTTCATTACATGCATTTCGACTGTCAGACATCTTTTATCAAGTCATGTGACTTCATGTTACTTGAAAAATAACAAAAGTTTGCACTGTACATGTACAGAATATACTACTTCAACCACCGTATTACTATCGTAAGTTGAGGGTGTAATTTGAGGACAAGGTGTCAGTACATAACAGTAAATCAATTACCGTCAATTGTTTATTGACGCTTTGATCAGCAGCGCTTGGCCGCCGATGTTTTGATAGGTAGACTGGTGACACATGAGGAGTTCAGCTCAGGGATTAACAGTTTGTTGTACACTTAAACATTATCGTTGACAGAGTTCACACAGGACCACAAGGTGAGTTCGATATATCCGTTATTTCTTTATGAGCATGTTTGTTATATCCATGAAAAAATATGGCAAATTGCCGGGACCAAAAGAACAATTTGTTATATTCGTCAGTTTGTTATAAACGTGTTTGTTATAAATGTAGTTTACTGTACATACTTATCTTATCTCACGCTTTGCATTTCTTCCTTTTTCTTCTTTGATCCTATGTGGAAACATGCTTGAACCATGTTTCCAGCTTCTAAATAAAAAACATTCACCCAAACACCCTCTGCATCTACATGGTAACGTCCAGTAGCAAGGTCAATTGCGTGTTTCCCGTGCACGGTAAGCCTGCTCGAACTGACCATGTGCATATTCTCTTTCGCAGAGCTATCAGGGGAAGAGGAATTGAAATGCAGGATGGTGAGGTGGGTCTATTGTGTGTAAGATAGGATAAGTACATAAATATACATTTTATACTAAAATTTCCACTTTGCATTTTATCCCATGCTTTGATGGTGGGCCGCAGATACCCTTGCCTGTATAGACTACAACAGTGAGATATGTATAGAATACTAAACGAGCTTCCGTGTAATACCAATTTTATGAAACGAGTGAATAGTTGTGGTATCTGACGAGCGAAATGCTTTGTCAAGGTTATCAAACACATTGGAATGCATGAAGCGAACCAAGACGAAAAGAATAACGATCAACAATTCCATAGCAAGGACCATCAAACCAAAACCCTACATGATAAGCAACCAAAGCAGAGATGTTTTGAATAAAGATTCGGGACACCATTCTTAGTTTTATGAACAGACACACCTGATGGTGACTTTGTGGATGAAGACTAAAAAGTCTCCACGAACGAGCTAATCCACCCTCCAAAAGGGACTCAATCTTGGAAGACCCAAACAATAAAAAAACACCAAAGGAAATGGTCAAGGATTTCTTCTGTAAAACGATTGTAACCCCCAATGATCTTGATGTATAAGAGCTTTATCTGCATGAACTTGGGTGAGACAGTTGTTGTGCCAACACCAATTGAGCGAACTTGTGGAGCCCTTGTACGTCTGTGACTGAGATGTCGCGAGATAGTGAGACATGAAAACTGTATCAGACTTCCAAAAGCACCCATCCATGATGGCTGAAAGGGTACAGTTACAGTGTATAGAGCCATGGTAGAAGCAACCATTCAAATCTCTCGAGGAATGGACATAGTGGGTACAGGCAGCCTGGCAAAGGTATACGCAGGATGATGGAGCGAAGCCAGAAGGATAGAAATTTCCTGTGAGAAGCACTTGACAAGGTCTCTTCCAGGAATGCCTGTGGTGGCGAGATGCATCCAGATATAGCTGGGCACAGGGAGAGGTCTCCCTGGTCATTTGATCCCAAGATAGACAAGAGCGGGGGAATCGTAAATAGTTGGTCAGGTTGGCAGGGAAGTTAATTCTTTGGGTCAGGTCCCATAAAGGGAGCCGAAAATGGGCGGCTTGGTCTTCTAATTTGTAGGAATGGATGAGCGATTGTAGTTCTGCATCTGTGGAAACATTTGCCCCTGAAGTGGTGACAATGACAGAGTTGATAGCTGCGAGGTAGGTGGCTAATGTGGATAACTTATGTTTCCTTGTCGAAAGCAGGTAATGTAAAATACTCAGTGATCTGCTGAGGTGAGGCCGAGGTAGGAGTTGAAATATCACGAGCACAACAAAAAGTCTCAAAGGCTTTCACTTGTGGTCATAAAGGTGCGTGGTAGATGAATGATGGGATACAGTTTGGGCTTCAATACACACTGGGAGTAGCCTTTGGCGATGAGAGACTTCTGCAGTCTGAGTGCTGCAAGGGAGGGATCGAGCCACTGTGAGTGAGGCTAAGGAGAAGGTCGTCTGGTCAATTTGTGGCTGCTACCTTGATGTTGGATGTTGAGGAAGTTGATGAGCTGAAAGGACTCTAGAGTGAGCGGGAGGAGGGACATCGACTTCGTGGATCCAATTCTGTTGATGTACCATACTACCGCAGTGTTTTTGGAATGGATCATGAAGGAAGAGGAGCGTAGGACCAATGCAAGACAGCTAGAATGGCTGCCTTTGAAATTGTTCATAAGGAGGCAACGCTCGTCGTGGAACCACCGCCCTGCCACTTGCAGATCTCAAAAGTGTGCTCCCCAACCTACAGTTGAAGCGTGGACGAACAGATGGAGGGACTGGACAAATGGCCTCAAAGAGACCCCTCTGCAAACGTTTGATGCGACCAGCCACCATTGAAGATGAGGGTGGAGTCAGAGCAGTATGAGCAATCAGTGTGTGACAATCCTCAATCTTGATAAAGGGAAAGAGAAAACATTGAAGTTGTTGCAGATGCAGCTGACCCCTCACAGTGAGTGCCTGCTCTGACATTAGGTAACTCAGGAGTTGTTGCCGAATTGTTGAATCTTTACCCACTATTTGTTTGCGACAAACATCATACCCTGCTGAGTATCGAATAGGGCTCCTATGGATTTGAGACTTTGGGTGGGAATGAATTCTCATTTGTTTATGTTGATTAGCCAGCCTAGATGCAAAATAGAAGTCGATGGATGCATGAAGTCGAGTTGTTGACAGAGGATATCGGCATGTGAGCGAACTTGAATGCAGAGACATGGAGCACCTTCCATTGGTAGTGGCGGCCTTGAAAAAAAACACGTAGGAAGTGATGGTGCTCCTGTTGGATGAGAACGTGCAGACTAGTGTCTTGGAGATTGAGACTGACCATAAAATTGCCGGGATGAATGAGCATGCGAAGGCGAGAGATCGGCGTCATGAGAAACTTTGGCGGCCTTCTAAGTACGTAGCGTTGAAAACCTTCATTTTGAAGATGAGTCATATAGTTTTAGACTGTCTTTCTTGGGGATAAAGAATATGGGTGAATAAAACCCCGGAGTCATGGGAAGCGGGCTGAGACATTCGATTGCGTTTTTTACAAGTAACATACCTATAGCCCCGATCAACGTTGATAGTTGCCTGGCCGCATATGTTCGTAGGGGCTGGAACGTCGTAGGTGTTTGGGTTGTCAGTGGTAGTCTGTGCTGTAGTAACTGTGTCAAGAAGGTGTCTGCAAGGATGCTCCAGTTGCCTGCAAATAGCCCCAGTCTTCCACCTATGAGCGTGTCTGTAACAGCTGGAGGCGGAAGTTCCCAGTCATGCAGTAGTGAAAAGGAGTCAGTTTCCTGCTGAACCTCCCCTCGGGAAGGTTCACTTTCGTTCGGTAGAGGAGACTGATCGTCCTGCAAAAGGTCTCGAACCTTGTTGTCCTCTTCTGCGTCCGTGATAGGGATTAGGTTCATAGGTGAGAAGTTCACACTGGGTAGGAACGAACTGTGGACAGTTCCGCTCTTTCTTTTCCTGATCTTCCATTTGTGTCTTCTGGAGATGTAAAAGGTCCACAGTGACCGGAGGCTAGAGTCTCTCTGCAAACAGGGTGTTGTTGAGCTTTGCCTTGAACTGATCGTCATAGGAAGAGTGTTGTAGTATCCAACGGTGACGAATAGCTGTCATAGAGCCAGAATGGTGAGAGAGAAGTCCCAGAATCTGTGTGAGCTTATCGTGTATAAAGCTTATCACTCCTTGATTAAAAGCGTCATTGTGAGAATGAGTGGAGAGAGAGACAGAGAGGGCGTCCGTTGCTGACAGGATCGTAGACACTAGAGATAATGTATGGCATACCGTGGTATCCAAGTGTGTCAGGTCCTGATCTTCAACCACATAGGAGGATGTCCAGTGCTTCTGAAACAGTGTAGATACCTAGATTACCCTAGCTGACATTCCATGAGTGCCGGTATCTTCAAGGATGAATGGGGTACATGGAGTCTTTCACATAGATGACGGAAACCACCCTACCCGGGAGGGCCCGAGTGAAAAACTTTGTGGGTATGGGTATCTGGGTCACTGGTAGTAAGGGTCTCGATATCATTCGATCGTTGATCCTCAGCATGACGACCAGAAGCATCCCAGGAGGTAGTAGAACCATCATTCTTATCACAATCAGCTGTAGGAACAGGACAAGTAGGTATCTTAAAGGTGGTAGCGTGATCGGTCACTTGAATGGGAGCGTGAGCGTCATCGGTATCAGTCAGTTGGACGGAACGAACATCGGCTTGTATAGGAGATTGTGAAGTGTTCCATATTGTATCATCCGTGACAGAAAGTAAGGGTTCTTCTGATTGAAGTTAAGAGCAAGTCTTGAATTTCTTAGTTGAATCCTTGGCCTTAGAACGCCAGTCTGATAACCTGCAACGACATTGCTGAAGATAGACACAGAAGGCAGAATCTGGCAAGGCATGACACTCTGCATACTGTTAATTCAATGAACACTGCCTGCGACAGTCACAGCATAAGGAGTGAGGGTCCAATGTTGAAGTGGGCTGTGTAATTCTTCACAGTACACAGTACAGGACAAACAAACTTCTCTTCGATGGTAAAACATGTCACCACACGGGTGATGAGAAACAAAATGAGTTGGCAGAGGTATGCACATGGTCAGTTCCAGCAGGCTTGCCATGCATGGGAAGCACACAATTGACCTAGCTACTGCACGTAACCATGGAGATGCAAATGGTGTTCGGGTGAATATTTCTAATTTAGATGCTGGAAACAGGGTTCAAGCATGTTTCCACATTGGATTGAAGAAGAAGGAAGAAATGCAAAGTGTGAGATAGGATAAGTTTAAAAATGTTCTATTTATTATCACAGGTTTGGGAAGGTCAAAGGTCATGACAGGATCATAATCAAGATACCCACGTCTTTTGTTATTCTGCGGATCACATGTACTAATTGCATTATGGGCAACAATAAAAAATTCACAATGGCTGCCATGGCTACCAAGTTTTAAATCACAGGTTTTGTGAACATCTGAGAAAGAAATCTGCAAAGAAGAGGAGAAGAGAGTCTGCAGCATGACAAACACTCATGACCCTTCAGGTCAGCTGATCTACATATCACGGAATAATGGGTAGCACACTCACTATGTCAAGCCAGTTGCCCTACAATGCCAGCAATGTGGTATCATACTCACCATGTAAAGCCAGTTGCCCTACAATGCCAGCACTGTTGTATTGCACCTCTTTGCTGATGGAGAGTGATGCTAAGGACACCAAGCGACCAAACATCCCACCATTCCATAATGCCAATAGCTTGCTCTTCACATCATCTGAAAAATATCAGATGGTGATCATCAAGCCAGCCAATGAATTTTACCGATTACTGCTTTCTGAAAATGAGGAATTCTAAGGTAAATCTCTGTTATACATTATTCAATAATATCAGCAAGTTATCTGTAATCACTCAACAACAGCTTCATGCACATGTTGCACAAGGTAAAAAGGGCTCAGGTTGGACATTTCCAGAATGGACATGAAAACAGACATGTTTATGCATTCATGTGATGCTAAATCCTCTTGCATGATGTCATATCCACCTGATCCAGTGATTCCTCGGATGGGAATTGGCAGGACCAGAAAATGGTATTTTTTTATGCATGTATCATAAAACAGGATATTCTCATAAAGTTCCTGGGGCGGTTGGGTAACCTGGTGGTTAAGGAGTTTGCTTGTCACGCCGAAGATCCGGGTTCCATTCCCGACATGGATACAATGTGTGAAGCCCATTTCTGGTGTCCCCTGCCGTGCTATTGCTGGAATATTGCTTAAAGTGGTGTAAAACCATACTCATTCACTCACTCACTCACTCACTCACTCACTCACTCACCCAGCCATAAAGTTCCTCAATTATATTGCAATAGCTACAGTCTTCATAATACAGAAAAATGGGTTCTCAGGTAGCCACAGTTAAAAGTAATGCTTTGATGGATGAATTACATCGGACTCATGCAGTGCATCATAGTCTGCACAGATGGTATCCACTTGTCATCTGGTAGTTGACAATGCCTCAACATTTTCCCTATGAAGTATTTGTCTTCTCAGACATGTCCTAAGGGTCTCTCTATTCTGACTTTTGCCTCCAGTTGTAAGTATCTTTTAAGGCTTGAACCAGAAATGAACATATACACAGTAAAAAAAGTGTTGCACCCCCACATTAATACGTTTGATACATCACAACATTTAAAACGCCCGACTCTGGTTTTAATGGTAGGTATTCCTTGGGGATCTGATGTTAAATGTGTAATGTTTTCGGAGGGAAGATGATCACCAAAACGTAGCAATCAGCACGTGAATTGCATGGTGCATGACATTTGCAGATTGCAGTATCTTCTTAAGCTCAACATCGCCTATAAAAGATGTTCTCTGACAGCCCAGTTTATTGTAACCCACAATGCCGGGTAGACGATTGTCAGAAGCAGTCAAGTGGCAGATTATTGGCCTTCATGGAGCAGGTCTTTTGTTCAAGGAGATTGGCAGAAGAACCGGACATCACTACTCAACAATAAGCCGTTTGGTCAGAAAACACGCACAAACTAATGATGTAAGGAATCGCAGACCCTCTGGCAGACCACGAAAGACCACAGTTAGAGATGACAGAGCGTTGTTGAGGGTGGTAAGGCGTCATCCATTTGCTACAAGCACAACCTTGAAACGTCTTTGGCTTCCTCGTCAACAGTTCAGTACCCAGACCGTGAGAAATCGTCTTAAAGCTGCAGGGTTGAAGTCCAGAAGGGTTATCAAGCGACCTAAACTCACAGACAACCACAAACAACTACGTCTAGCCTGGTGTAGACTGAGACAGAACTGGAACTTGAGGTCCTGGAGAAGAGTCCACTGGTCGGACGAAAGCAGGTTCCTTCTGCATGTTGTGGATGGCAGAGTGAGAGTATGGAGGCGTCCTGGAACAGCTTATACTGCAAGAAACATCATGCCAACTGTACCATATGGAGGTGGATCTGTTATGGTCTGGGGATGCTTCTCATTTGATTGTAAGCTTGATTTAGTGACCATACGAGGCAACTTGACAGGGGAGCGCTACATCCAAGAGGTGCTGAATCCAGTTGTGGTGCCCCATTTTGACAATCATCCACTGGCCACCAGACCGATATTCATGGATGACAATGCCAGACCACATCGTTCACGAGCTGTGACCCAGGTTATCCACAACAATGCTCTGACGCAGATTCCATGGCCAGCAATGAGTCCAGATCTGAATCCTCTGGAACATGTATGGGACATTTTGGGACGCCTGATTTATCGTCGGGACCCTCCTCCACAGAACTTGCGTGAATTGGAAGCAGCATTACACGAGGAGTGGCAGCAGCTGCCCATGGAGCGATTCCAACGTCTGGTGAGGAGTATGAGACGAAGACTTCAAGCTGTGATCCAAGTGCTTGGTGGAAGTTCTCGATATTGACTTACTGTGTTCGTCAAATCTCCATATGACATTCTTACCCTATTGGATGAATTTGGTCACTAAAAATTATTGAGATGTCACCATACTTAATGCGTCTTCGTTGTTCGTTCATTTTTCGTAAAAGTTCAGCATGAGATTATAACATGCCATAAGGTCATGGAATACCCCATTTAAGTTCATTGTATAGACAATACACTGGTTTGTTGGTATACACGAAATCCTGGTTATAATATTAATTCGGTTATCTTTACACCCTTTCAAAACACCCCTCCATGAAAAAGTATAGGGGGTGCAACACTTTTTTTACTGTGTATATATACAGATTTGGTTTTCTGCAGTTAATGCCTCAAATTTTGTTTGCTCAGAATTCTGCTTGCAAGATCCTGACACTCACATCTGCACTAACAGTATTTAAGGCCAACAGGACAATGTTTCCACTGGCTTTTGTTATTATAGATGTGGATACAGGCACCGTAATAAAAAACCTGATCCAATAGTCAATAAATACAGTCTGCAACTCAGAGTTTTCTTATTTTATTTCTTAACAGATTGCAAACTTGTGAAATGTTATTACACCAGCATGAATGTTCAAGATTAGATTGTTCAGTTGTTTTTGACTAAGACGATTCCAAGTGGCCGTGTGGATCTGAATTGTTTTGCAAATCTTGTTCTGCTGGTACACTGCTGACTAGTATTGTCAGTGCGATTGCAATTTTGAACAAAAAAAGCTCCAAAGATATGAGCATAGGTTGAAACAGTAAATAGAGAACAACTAACACATTCCAATGGGGGGAGTGTCTTTCCCTGCCCTAATACTCCTCATATGGAATTCATGAGTACCTTAACCCCCAAGTCTCCAGGATCTACTGCAAGAAAACTCAGATTTTCATAAATACCAGAACATCTGACATACGAGGGATGTTCAGTAAGTTTTGCAACTTCAATATAAGACCAAGTCGCAGAATATCTTTTGCACTTTTATTTTTCAATATAATCTCCATTCACCTCAATACACTTATTCCATTTTTCCTTCAAGCTTTTAATACCATTTTTATAGAAATCCGCAGATTGGCCCTCTAACCACTCCTCTGTGGCAGCCTTTATGTCCTCGTCATCCTGGAGGCTTCTTCCACGTAGGGCAGATTTCATTTGCCAGAACAGGAAATAGTCACTGGGGGCTAAGTCTGGGCTGTATAGGGTGGGTGATTCAACTGTACAGCCCATACTTAGAAATTATTTCAAATATATATATATATATATATATATATATATATATATATATATATATATATATATATATACACACATGTGCATTTAGTTTCAAATGACATGCTTATGAATTCATGAATTTTGAGTAATATTTGAGTATTTACTCTCAGATTTTACTTTTCTTCACCTCTCTTCCCATGGATTTTACCATCCCAGCATAACCACCGAGTTAAACCCTAGATTTAAGCCATGTTACTTTTGGCCATTTTATATTACATATAATGTATTATTGGGTTAGCTCAGGTTTAGTTTATTTAGCATCTCGATACACTTAAAAACAAAATTACTGGAAAATTTCCAGTTTTGATACCTTGCATATAATCATACATCAATATACTTATGTTACCCCTGTGGGGAAATAGGCAATACTAGGTCCCTAATACTCCCCATGATTGTCGAGTTGACAAGTCGTAGGATATGCTAGTATAAACAATGCATAAAGTGGCTAATTGTGAGTTATCGTAAACCGTGTGGATGCATGGTTTGCAGATGTTATGAACACTGTGAAAACACAACTTTAATATTTTCTCAATATAATCAAGTAGTATTCATTGTTTAATTGTTTCATTTAGATAAATAATAATCACAAAAAGGTTCATCGCCAATAAAGACAAACACTGCTGCTTCATTACACTTGGCGGAAGCCCAGACGTTTAATGGAGGAGCAAAAACACAGAATGGTGAATGTGAAACACTAACTTATAACAAACGAAATAAGAGTAATGGCGTGACCATCTTTCTCTCCTCTTTCCCTCTGGTTCTAAGGGTGAGATACTTACAAAATGAACACAATAAAGCACATGTTATATCGTACAAAAGAGTCAATTAATGTCCCAGTCCCCGCTACTCTGCCAAGCAGGAGGATGGCGAATTCTGCCTGATCTTCGTGTACCATTATTTGATACCACACAGTCCATTTCACTGGGTGTGACAGTTTCAACGTCACTAGGTGAAACAAGTTCACTCTCACTTTGCAAAGTGGGGCCATAGTCACTTGACACAGTCTGGTCATTGTACGTTTGGTCAGTGGGTATACCTTGGCCTGAACTGGTGGTTGGGGCTTGATCTGTAGGGCAGTATTCTGGAGGCCGCTGAGGTGGTTGAACTATTTGTTCTGGGAGGGGAGGTAGACACTGAGAAGGGCCCATCATAGGTGAGGGTTCACAGACAGAAAGCGGTGGGTGACACAGATGGGATGAGTCATCCTCAGTGGTGTTATCTAGTCCACGTATAGGACCAGGAGAGTCAGGAACCATTACAGTCGGGAGAACAGGGTAACAGTTCCTGATCGGAACAGCATATGTCTTTGACCTGAACTGCGATTTGGTAAATTTCCTGACTAGGCAAGACTCACCAGATCATGTATCATGTATCATGTATTTCCCTCTTGTTTTGGTTTTGTCTTTGTCATGGACAAGGAAAACGAGATCTCCGATGCGTAAACTAGGTACTGAGGTCCCGGTCTTAACGTTGGCTTTTGATCTTGAACTGTAGGGGTGGTTTATTTCTCGCAGGTCTTTCTGTTGGGTGATGAGGTCTGCATCTGCTAATGGTAACTGACTGCAAGTGACCTGGTCTCTTTGT